TTCCTTCACAAGTTCTTAGTCCTCTTTCTCCCAGTGTGAGATTCGCTCTTTAGAAGTCATGTGCTATGGTAATCCTTGTTCGCCTTTTCCTTTTCCTTCATTCCTTGCAGAGGATGACGTGGGCGCCCAGACCTTGCTGTTTTGTATGGTCAAATTAGCTAACTTGGACTCGTGCGACTTTCCAGAAACACTAGCCATTGGGGAATTGTCTTAATGATGTTAAATCAAAAGCTTTGTTCTCATCACACTCTGCCTTCCTCCTTTTTCCCCCCTCCTCTTTGTTGAAGTCATCAAGTTTGCTGATCACCACCTCTACCTCTTCCTTGTTCTCTTAGCCAGGGAGAATAATTTAAAGACTCTCAGCCTTCTTTGTTGCCTCATCTCCTCTTCTGTGCTCAGTAGACACAAGACTCTGTCTCTGGATTGATGCAGCTCTGCTTTCTCCGTGTGGCATTCCTCTGCTCCAGGACTCCCCAGTTGATTTTTATTCTTCATCTCATTCCTTATTCTCTTAACCATCTTTATCTTCAATTATCGTACTGTGTTGCTAAATTCAGTAACCTATTTTCTCCTGTTTGACTACTCTATATCACTTGACATGTTGTTCTCCTTTAGCTGTTTTGGAAATAACTTTTTTGTTATGTACAAGTAATTTGTGTTAATTGTCTATAATTTAGAAAATAGAAACAATTTTAAAATACCCATAGGAAAGTAATTGTAGTTATAATCTTTCCAGGATTGTCCAATGTAGACATTATATATTTGCATATCTACACATTCACTCTATTATTGTTTAATATATTAAACATTTTTATGTTGGTTAATATTTTCTATAGAATGGTTTTAATTAGATGCATAATATTCCATTGTGTGGATGTGCTATGATTTACTTAACCAACTCTTTCCAATTTAATATTCAGATTATAATAAAACCTTAAATTGTGTGTAATTTGTTCTGCAGCTGTTCCATAAGACAAGCAACCATTTCTAATAAATTTTAATCTACTAAATGAGCAATATCTTGCAATATGAGTAGTATGTGATGCTGAACATCACATGATTACATGATCTCGCTGTGGGATTGTGGGTGATCATCTCCCAACAATAAGAGCTTATGGAGGAAGTCTTGTCATCAGAGGAAGCGGAGAAAAAGGTGGAGGAATCCCTTGCTTCACATGAGATTAGGGAGATGTATAAAATGTGGGAAACTACAGAATTGTATAGAAAAATAAGTATTCTCATGGTGACTGTACCCACATAAAACCTTTTTCTCTCCTGTTGCCAACTCAATTATAATGTGTCAACTTGAACAATATTGCTTTTCTCAGATTCCCTGTGTTCCCTTCTCCACCATAACTCAAACTGGACACTTCCATATTATCCATATTATAAGAGAACTCATAATTCTCGAATAGAAAATTCTTTTGAGAAATTATAATGATTTGAAAATGATGAGTAAGCAAAACTCTCTTTACTCTCACCAGAAAATAGCCTAAGGTTTGTTTTCTCACCAAGTTCTGGTGCTTTCTCTCCAAATGTTCCCTTTCTTCTTACCCTCCTTCCTCAGCTGCCTCAGATTTGTAAGAGAGTTTAGAATATGGGTTACAGTTGTTCGAGAGTTGGAAGAGACATCTGTGCCTATTGCTGAGGGCTGGCTCAGACCACCATTGTCTGTACAATAGTTTATGACCCTCCCTCAGCAAAACAGTATTCCCAGCCATTCTGGTGCAGCTGTGGCTAAGTCTTTTGATTGTACCTCGGAAACTTCTCTAAAACAAGCTTCCTTCTCTTCATGCTTATTGGCATTGCCTTCGTTCAGATGTTATCCTTAGGGAGAGGGGGAAAATCACTGTGTTCTTTTGGAGGTAACTTTGATGGATGTTTTTGTTCTTGTCTGAACTCCTTTGAGCCAGTCCCAGAGAAGGCAGTTAATCTCTCCAAGTCTCATCTGATAAAAGATGATGATAACAGGACCTACCTCATAAGGGTATTTTTAAAACTATATAAAATACGGCATGTAAAAGTGCTGAACAAGGTGCCTGACATATAGTAAATATCCAATAAATGTTAGCTTATCATCATTGTCATCTTTGAAACCCCATTTTAATGGGCCTAAAGTATTCCTGACTTCTTAGAAAGATGGCTTTTTTCAAAAGTGTTTTGAACATTCTCTACTTGGACACTTATTTATCTTTATCTCTATATTTACTAGACTGTGGGCTCCTCCTGGGTAATGACTGTTTGAAACAAAGCTTTTGTAAATAAGGATGGGAGTGAGGGATGAAGAGAGGGGAGGGGAATGGGGACAAAATAAGACTTAAGATTATATTGTGTACAGATACAAATTCCATACAATGAACATGATCATTATGTATATCTAAATTGCACCAATAAACTTAATTTTAAAATATTACCGTGAATGTCTAAATTTAAAAAAAAAATTATTACCATAAAAGTTATATAGACATTAATCCCCTTCAAAGTATTCCTCCTCGCCTCAAACACTCTTATTCCATCTTTCTTGCCATTTTCTGAAGCCGTTGTGGAAGTCCTACTTTGTGAGTGAGTGTCTTTATGAGGAGTGATTAAAAAAAGTACAGCTCATGCTGCTGCTCAGGCATGATTAATGGAAAAGGAGGCCCACAGAAACACTGTGTTGTGTCTTCATCCACCTTATTCACCAGACCTGGCACATACAACTTCTGGGCCCTCCCCAAGGTCACAACGACCATGACAGGGAAGCGCTTTGGAATGATTCAGGACCTCAAGGCAGCCATGACAGTGCAGCAATAGGCACAAAAGCGGACTTTTAGAACTGCTTCAGAGTGTGGCAAGGATGGTGGGATAAATGTGTTTGATGTGAGGAGAAACATTTTGAAGGGGAATAATGGCAATGTGTCTTTTATTGTAATAATTTTTAAAAATTTAAATATTCACTATATCTTTCAATCACACCTTGTATACTCAACAGAAATTCCTACAGATACATATCAACTATGTACAAGAACATTCATTGTTACATTATTTGTGGTTACTCTGAATTGAAAACAGTTCAATGTTCCTAAAGAATCGAATTAACAAGCAATATTATATTCATGAAGTACAATGTGATGCTATGATGTAAATAACCAAAATAAATACATATTTAAGCATAATAGTGTGCAAAACAATCCAGATACAGAAGACTACACATTCTTCAGTGATTTATTTTATATAAAAGTTGGTGTGTGCATGTGTGTGTGTGTGTGTGTGCATGCGCACACGTGTGTGACTGAAGAGGGATTTCTTAGTGTGCAAAACAATCCAGATACAGAAGACTACACATTCTTCAGTGATTTATTTTATATAAAAGTTGGTGTGTGCATGTGTGTGTGTGTGTGTGTGCATGCGCACACGTGTGTGACTGAATTGAGGGATTTCATACTTACCTACATTCCCAGCTCTTTTTATTACTTTTTATTTTGACACAGGGTCTTGCTAAGTCACTGTGTTGCACAGGCTGGGCTTTAACTTGTGATTCTGCTGCCTCAGCCTCCCAGAACGCTAAGATTACAGGCATATGACACCATACACGGCTCATTTTCTGTAAAGTTTAAAACAAACACTTTATGGTGTCAGTAGTTAGCATATTGGTTATCTCTTCAGAGAAGGTCAGGTGCATGGCAGTGTCTTTTAAAGTGATGATAATGTTCTGTTTCCTGACCTCAGTGGTATGTTCACTTTGAAAATCTATCAAACTATATACTTTTGAATTTTGCACCTTTCTAAATGCATGTTAATCACAAAAATATAATTTAAAAATATAAACAAACATACTAATAAGAAGACATCTGGAAAATTAATTCTCAAAAGGGGAAACCAAAGAGAAAGATATCAAATATAAAATTTAGATGCATAAATTAACTTCCCATTCCAAATTATTAAAATATACAGCTTTTACACTGTATATTTCTTATCTCAGCAACCATAAGCAAAATCTTGATGTATTATTTTCTCTCCTGTAGTTATAGGATGACAAGTTGACCTTTCTCACTGGAAATAAAGGTCATATTAACTTGCTAAGACACTGTCTCTCTCAGCCGCTGCCCTCTAGCAAGTCATATAGGGGCCATTGTTTTAATGTGAGTGGAGCTTGCTCCTGATGTTTGATGATGATAATTATAACTTCATAATTTAAACCTGTCATCTCCTGACCTCTGGTGTAGTACTGTACAGAAGAGTCTCCGATCTCTGCATTCATCTTCTCTTTCTCAGTTTCTGAACTTTTTTTAGTATGTGATTTTATAGCATCCACAATAATTAAGTAACAGTAAATAGACATAGCACTAAAAGTACATGCATATATTACATTTACTTGTCGGCTCAAACACTCTTGTCATTTTTGTGCCTAATCAAAGATAAATGCGGAATACTGGTTTAATTAAAATGCTGTATACTCAGAGCAGAATCAGTTGCCAGTGTTCTTGTCTGGAAATGTGATGATGACCAAGGTACTTTTACATCCCGCTCTCTAGTGCAGCAGGGGTTAGGGAGGCGGTGTTGGCTTGAAGTGTTACGGTTGACTGATATTTGGTTTGGATTTGATTCCCTTGGGATGTTCATTGTGTTGCTTTAAATAAGAAAGAAGCAAGTGCATTTAAAAATTATATTATAAACTGGGCGTGGTGGCGCACGCCTGTAATCCCAGCACTTGGGAGGCTGAGGCAGGAGGATCACTGTGAGTTCAAGACCAGCCTGGGCTACATAGTGAGTTCCAGGTCGGTCTCAACTACATAGTGAGACCCTGTCTCAAAAACAAACAAGCAAAAATATATTATAATGGGAGCTTGATGCAGTGGCACCTGCCTGTAATTGCAGCTACTTGGGAGGTAAAGGCAGGAGGAGGATCGTGAGTCTAAAATTTGTCTGAGGAAAAGCAAAAACAAAGATTACAATGTTAAAAATTATTTTTAATGGAAGGTTAATATTTAACTATGACTAACTGGCTTTTTATATCCTAGGCTGACCAGATATCTGGTTTTCATATAAGATCTGTTCTCTGCGTCCCTATTTGGAATAGCAACCACCAAATAATTGGTAAGACATTACTCAAACAGTTCTAACTTCTTTTATAAAGAAGTTCCTTTTATAAAGGAACAGAAGGATGCTTTAAAATACACCCATATCATTTTATTGTGTTCCCCCCTTTTATGTCCATGCTCACCAAGCCTGCTCTATCTCACAAGTACAAACTCCTAATGAATAGACATTAATTAGAACATAAATAATTTTTATTAAGCTCAAAGAACCAATAAATTTTGAAGTTAGAGGAATCACAGAAGCTAAGAGAACTGTTTGACTTTACCTTGATGCAAAAGGGGGGACAGAGAGTGCACGATGACGTGAACAAGGTCGCAAAGTTACAGCAGCAGGGCCAGCATTACAACTCGGGCCTCTGACTCCTGGTACGAACTTTCCAGTATGACTTTGTTCTTTTGTACCTGCTGTAGACACAAAGGCACTGAGAGTGTGCACTGTTGGTTACATATGGAGCGTACATGTTTCTTCCTGGATCGTTCTAGAATAGGTTACACTTTTCCCAGTATAAAGGAATTTCAAGCAAAAGTGGCCTCCACCTTTTTCTTTCTAACTGTCCTTGTCCCTTCCCTCAAAAATAAAAAGAACCAAAGTTAATGTAGAAATCCAGGCAAGATGAGTTCTTAGTTTAAAAGTCATAAAGGATGGAGGAATTAGTTAAAATTATTCAAACACAAGCAAAATGTGATTTTTTCCCCTAAGAGACATAAAGTACTGATGTATATGGTATGTAACAAATGTTTTTGCCTCTCTGCTTCTCCCTAAATTGCTTGTTAAGCTCTAAGACATTGCTAGCCAACAAAGGATTTAGCATTCTGCAAGTGTGGGCCAGACCTGATTTTGGAAGATTTTTTTTTCATTAGATTGCTTACTTCACACAAAAATATTATTGAACATAAAGTATATTCTAGAATCTGAGGATCTGTGCCCCTAGTACAAATGGGGATTAAACTGCAGCATGCACAGAGTTTTAAATATATTTATGTTTAAAGAATGAAAAAAGGGAAAAGTCCATGAGAAACACCATGGGTTATTTGTTCATTCCATGACAATCTCACATACAGTTTTGCATTTGACTCCTAACAGTGAACATCTGTTATTACTTCAATTAGGACTATAGTTTCCTTGTTACATGCTAAAATTTTGCATTTTACTATATATATGTATGTGTGTGTGTGTGTATTAGATTTTTAAAAGCAACAACAAGAAGCATATTTTAGAATAGCTATTTTTTGTTTGTACTAAATGGAAACCCAGACTAGTGGTTTTCAAGATTGTTGTTTTCTTTCTTATTACACTGTTATGCTTTGGAAACATGCCCTAAAATAGCTGGTATAATATTGTCAGTGAACTTTGAAAGGAGGAAGCATTCATAAATTAAGTTTGTTAGAACGATGCAAACCATTGGTAGCAATCAACAGAACTAACTTTGCTTTGAAGGTTAATACATCAATTTCTACTGATTGTAGGAATTCCTACCACTTCCTGAATGTCTACTTCGTATGGAGCAATATGCTGTTTTACAAACATTTAAAAATTATCTCAATATGGAGAACAAAGCAGAGTTTACCAGGGGTGAGGTAAGGGGAGGAAAAGGGGAGATGTAGGTTAGAAGATACAAAGCAGCATAATATATAGGAGGAAAAAATGTAAAGCTCTAATTACAGCATGAAGACTGTAGATAATTAAATTATAGGTTATTTGGGGTTCATTTTAATTAAGTAGATTTTAGTTGCCTTGCCACCCCTTAAAAAAAACACAAAATGGGTATCTATGTGAGTTGATAGATATTTTTATCCGCTTTACTACAGTAATGGTTTTACTTTCTATATGTATCGCACAACATTATATGTATATCTTAAATATAAATAGTAAATTTTAAAATTATCTCACTAAATCTTCATAACCATCTGAGGTAGTCAAAATTTTAATTCCCACTTTACCATGAGAAATCACAGTGCTAAAAATGTCAATAACCTAGGGTTACACAGCCAGCAGTGGCATTTACGTTTGAACCAAGACCATCTGAAATCCAGAGCCTGTGTTCTTAATCACAACCTTGCTGAAACATTGAGACAAATATATTTAGCTACATATTCTCTTCCCCTACACACACACACACACACACAGAGTTATATTTGCGTGTCTGTGGATGCACACACATATTTGCCAGCTGTCTCAAAGCTGTGATACACAGGATTTAAACTGGGCATCTACAGATGCTTCATGGAGGCAAAGAGCTACCTGTGCCTCCTCTAATACCAGTATTGAAAATGACCATACTCAAACTTCTTTCATAGGAGTGGCTCAGGTGTTGAACAGACTTGATGGGAAACCTTTTGATGATGCAGATCAACGACTTTTTGAGGTAAGAAAATAAATGTATAAACTAAGAGTCATAGCTGAGTCACCATTAGTCTCCTGGTTACAGCTTGTGCAGATCTGTAAGGATAAATCGCCCTTATTTATTATTATATTTAAACAGGGTGCCAAAATGTAAAGGAAGATTTTAAGACTATATAAATGCATAGGTAAAATTTGATTCTATTGTTTTGCTTAGCTTATTTTGTAAACCTGTTATTTTTCTCTTAATTTATTACAGAATCGTCTCCCCTGATCCCTTGAAAATTATTGCTTTGTTATATGTCCCATCTTGTCTGGTTTGTATGTGTTCAGAGTCCTGAGATCCGAGTCAGCTTGGCCAGGTGTATCAACCTCGTTCTCCTTAGGTTTCCATGTTTCCTGCAGCTGGAGAGGCTGGCCTTCAGTGGGCCTCCTTTCTGACCCAGTGGCCAGCAGGAAAACACCAGCATTGATTCCTCTGGCCCAGAATACTGCACAGTTTCTTCATCAACTCTTTCTAAATCAGTCTACTTCCCCTTCCAGATTAGCTTGTGGTTACTCTCACTTCATTTCGTTATCAAAACATTTTACCGCCTAGGTACTGAAAGAGGTTGCTTTTGGTTAAATAGAATAGAATTAACTAAACTCATTCCCAACCTAAATAAATTTAAAGCACATTTAAACAGATAGTGTGTTTTTAAAGGTATGAGGTAACTTCTTCACAATGGCTTTAAATTGACAGTTTTTCTCACGTGTAATGTGAGCTATAAAGTTGTTACATGACAACAGTGATTAAGAATTTTAATGTGTATATTTCCCCAGGGCCTGCTTCTGTGTACAATAAAATTACATTTTCAGAGCCATCTATGATTACTGCCTGCTTTCATATTAAATTTTGCCAAGGAGTTATCAAAAATTTTAATTAATGGACTTTCCCTTTTCTAGGCTTTTGTCATCTTTTGTGGCCTTGGTATCAACAACACAATTATGTATGATCAAGTGAAGAAGTCCTGGGCTAAGCAGTCTGTGGCTCTTGATGTAAGTACTGTATTAACATCAAAATCCTATGTTAAAGAGCCCCAGTTTTATGGAAGAAAAAGTATATTTGGTGTGGGGCTGAACTTCTTAGTTTTTATTTATCTATTCATTTGAGCCCTAGTCACTTTTGGGTCATAGATTCAAATTTGGTAAAAGGTAAAGACCCTTTCTTTCTACATACATACATGCATACATACATACATACATACATACAATGTTTCATGTATTTTCAGGGAGCTTGCAGATTCTTTGATGCTCACCCACACTTGTTCTATGGTTAGAGGAAGATTTTGTATGTTAGATTTATTAAATAGTGGCAAGTCAAGAGGAATATTGTCAAGATTTAAAATGTAGTGTGAACTTGGATTTGAATATGCACAGATACTCTGCAGCTTCACAGCTTTTCTTATCAAAGAAAATCTCACTATGAAGATATCTGGCCCAGATGGGAGAAGCTGCTCCAGTCATTATCCAGCTACCTCTTTCCCATGCACATGCACTGTCTCTCTCTCTCTCTCTCTCCCTCTCTCTCTCTCTCTCTCTCTCATCCACCCTGCGTTGTTTCCATGCCAACACCACACGTCCTCTCAGACCCACCAAGTTCTAAAAGAAGAGTTCTCCTCTCCATGATTCTCAGGTGCTTTCCTTGACCCAAGACCTACTATTTTTCTAGCATCTTGCTCTGCAGATAGATCTTATTTCTATCTATGGCATACTTATTAGGTAAGGCAGATAAAATACCAGTGCCAAGATAACAGTCTGTAGAACAGTAAAATACATGCGCAGTCTTCAAAATATTATGGGTACCAAGCCAGACTGGTAAAAAGAGAAAAGCAAGGGGAAGTATGAGTAGGCAAATTAATGGTTCTTGCAGTACTCTGGTTTAAGACTTTAAAAACATGAAATTATAGTTATCTAATCTATTTACTTTTTTCCCTCCTGGCTAGACTATGACTTCTGCAAGCAGAGTCTTTATGCTTTATGTAATTTTATTTGCAATGCTTACCAGGTGCTTAGCACAGAGGAGGGATTTATTGAGTAGTTTTGGGATGGGGAAGAGGAGGGAAAGAATACAGGGAAAGAGGGAGGGAATGGATTTTGCTGTTGTTCTCCTGAGATTGCCCTGCGTGCTTACATGCAACACGTTTCCAGTAAAGACTAAAAGTAACATTTGATGGTTCACTAAATGGATGACCTGCAAACATACCCCAGGATACCTCTCACTAGTAGGGCACTAAGATCTGTATGCAAAGCTATTATTAAATAATGTCTCTCTTATCTCACTCAATTGTGAGAAAGCAGATGATGAATGTGAAGATTTTAATAAGCTGAGCAGTCAATAAAATTATGTCAACAACAAGAGTCACTATATTTATTATCTGTAGCAACATATTTATTACGGAGAAATAATTAGGAGAAAGAGCAAAGAACAGGAATTTCTAGTAGCAAATGTGAGTCATGCTGTCATCAAATTCTGATTGCAGCAGAGTTGCCTCACCCCTTGTTTCTTACTTCCTTTAACTGTAAAAAGATCATTCCATATACCAGTCACAAGTAGATACTTGTCTGCATGTCATGGAACCATTAGCACACACAGAAAGCCACTCATGCTTCCCATGTTCTGCCTCCTCGCCTGCCTCCTAGTGTACCTTCATCCCACTGAGAAGGAGCTAGCGTAGTGGAGGGGCCAGCACCCTGGGAAAGAGTCAGTGAAAGGCACAAGTCTCCCTGACTGCACTTCCTATTGCCCCTGGGCCTCAAGGAGACACTGGAACCCAGAAAGAGCTAATGGCCCCACCAACTCTAGCCATGGTCTCCTCACTCATGCTTATTCGGGTGCATACTAGACGCACTCTTGTTTGTACAACTCTGCCACCTTCTATCCCTAGATATAAAAAGTATTACTTACACTATCAAATTTCTGGCTCAAATCTGAGTCTTATGAATCTCATCCTTAGGAGAGATTGACTTACGTGTGTTTACTTGTATGTTTTGTGTGCTTTAGTTTGTGCCAGATGTCAAAAGTGACATTGCCTGTCAGATTCCAATGTTACCACCTTGGTTCTTTCTCTACCACCCTCAGCCAACCCTTACCACTTGGGACCAGAAACCTGACTCTAGTAATTGGGTTAACATCCAACCCACTTCGTGGCCTTGCAATCTATATGCAAGAGTGGCTACAGGGTTCCTTTTCCTCTGGACTTTGTGAAGATAAAAAATGATTTTTGCAGGTTAGGGATTTAGCTCAGTGATTCCACCACCTGCCTCTCAAGCTCAAGGTCCTGAGTTCGATCCCCAGGACCAAAAGAAGCTACTAAACCTAAATCCAGGGATGAGATTTCCCTGAGATGGTATAATGTTTTAACTTCTGGGTAAATGTATAACATTTACATATTTACAGATATTGTACATGAATAAGTGTGATGTTTTGTAAGTATTTCTATAAAAATTATGTACTTATAGGTATATATTTATACTCACCTAGTCCAGTAAGGATGTGAGCTATGTTACGAGAATATAAATGAGGCAGAAGATTGTTTTAAAAAGTGAAATAACAACAGAGCTGAGCCAGAGAAAGCCAAGTGGGACAGAAGCCATTAGCAGTGCTATTCTGGATCCTCTCCATTCCTCCTCTCTTTCTCTTTGTATTGTCTCAGTTTTACATATTCTCTTTAGTCTTTATCCACTTTATCTCGTCCCAAAAAAAGCAGTGTTTAAAATGTAGCTCTCTGAACTGGGCATGGTGGTGCACACATGTAACTCCAGCAGTCAGAAGGCTGAGGCAGAAGAATCCATGAGGTTTGAGACCAGCACGGGCAACACAGGAAGACCAAAGATAAGGTAGCTATCATTCCCATAATAGAACTATGCTGTCTCTTATTTTGCAGTTCTCAGTAAGAGTGGAAGGAAACAGTCAATCGCTTGTCCCTAAAACAATAATCTCTGTGGAAGCCTGTCCCTCCAGAACGAAAGTAGGCATAGCACAGGGCCTGGAATGCTCATGGAACTGCATTTCTCTCACGTGGTGAAGAGACTCTGGAGATGGCACAACTCTGTTCTCTCCTGTCTTTTAAACATCCTTCCTAAGGCATTTTTAATAAACATGATGCATCCTCAGAAGTAAATATTCTTTAGATAACTTCTCGGGGAAGACTAATCCCCACAAATGGGGTTGAGTATAATCTCTGAAATACTCAGGCCCCCCTGGAACAATACTTTTTTAAACAAAATATATGGCTCTGTAGCCGGGCGTGGTGGCACACACCTGTAATCCCAGCACTTAAGAGGCTGAGGCAGGAGGACCACTGTGAGTTGGAGACCAGCCTGGGCCACATAGTGAGTTCCAGGTCAGTCTCAACTACATAGTGAGACCCTGCCTTAAAAAAAAATTATATATATATAACTTTACTTTTCTCCCCACATAGCCACTGATTTCCATGTAGTTCTTGTTGTTGTTGTTGTTGTTTTATTGAATTTATTGGTACATTCTAGGTATACAGTACAGTTACATTCATTACTGGGATCTTGTACCTTTACATGACAGGTCTTGGTTGGTTCTCATTTTTTCCCCTTGTCCCTGCCCTCCCTTCACCCCCTCCTCCCCTCCCCATTTACAAACACTTTATTTCCATTTTTTCATTTTCTCATATTTTTTTCTTTTCCCCTTATTACCTTTCCCCTACCCTTCCCACTTTCCCTACACCTTTAGCCCTTTTCTTCCTATTTCACATTGTCAGTTATCTCATTAGGATTTTATGCACTACTGTAGTTTTTCACACCAGAAACTATTCGGTATTTACGCATGTGTGACTTATTTATTTCACTTAGGAGTATATCCTCAATATGTATCCATTTTCCTATAGATGACTCTAATTTCTCATTCTTTATGGCTGAGTAGTATTCCATTTTATAGAAAAACCACATCTTCCTTATCCAGTTCCATATATTTGTTTAATACTGGCTACTTTTCCTATTGCTTGAAAGTGCCATTTTAAATTATACAAATTCATATATATACATACACATACACATTATATATACAAGTATATTTCTTTATGTATTAATTCGTTCCACTGATCTGGGGAAAAAAACTCCAGAAGTTAATCGCTTTTGTTTGTTTTTGTTTTTGTTTTGTTTTTTGCAATTCAGCGGATCAAACTTAGGACTTTGCACTTGGGGGGCCAGCACAGAGCCACTGAGCTAAATCCCCAGCCCCAGAAGTTCACTGTTTTAAGTACACTTCTAATAAGAGGGTTTTTTTTTTCTCTCATTGAGTTTATTGGTACATTTTAGGTATAAGTACAGTTACATTCATCATTGGAATCTTGTATCTTCACATGACAGGTCTTGGTTCTCATTTTTCCCCCTTGTCCCTGCCCTCCCTTCACCCCCTTCTCCCCTCCCCATTTACAAACACTTTATTTTCATTTTTTCATTTTCTCATATTTTTTTCTTTTCCCTTATTATCTTTCCCCTACCCTTCCCACTTTCCCTACACCTTTAGACCTTTTCTTCCTATTTCACATTGTCAGTTATATCATTAGGATCTTATGTGCTATTATAGTTTTTCACACCAGAGAAACGATTTGGTATAATGTGAGGTTTTCTCTGTATCAGTATGTCCTGCAGAAGGAGGCTGCTGGTTTTATGCAAGCAAAAAGCAGTATGGGTTGAAGATTAAACGTTCTGGATTTGGCATGGTCTCATTAGTCTAGTTTGGATTGAATCCTGATTCAACAATTAATGACTCTGTGCAAGCTATGTACTCTCAGTCTCAGTTAATTCCCCTGGTCAATGGGTAGATGAAGACTGCCCTAGCACGCTCCTGCTTCCTCAGTGATGCCTGTTTTCGGTCCCTTGGCTTACTGGATATCTTCTTGCAGGAAATTCCAGGACATGGAAATGCAAAACGCCCATGTCAAGAACAGCAAACAGGTCTTCCAAGTTACACATCTCCAAAGGCAAAGCTTCCCCCAAAAGATCCAACACCCTCGGGAGTT